CTCCGATACTATGCCGCGGTCGCTTCACAACAACCTCTCCTCCTCCAAGGCGCAAATATAACGTTATTTAAATGTGCAACGCAACAAACCTTCGCCGCCACTCCATCATATTACGCAAATACGACAGTTCGCTACAACTCACAAACACGTTTTTAACAACGGCACGGTTTGTCGACCACATAATCGATGAAATAATTCGAACACCCGTTTACTCATATAAACATATATATATATCCAAACACTATTCTCCGTTGCTGTGCGAGCTCTCCTCCAACCACGTAATCGATACTCATGTAAATAATATACCCAAACGTTACTCTCTGTTGCACAACGTTCAACAAATCTTTGCCGCCACTCTATACTACGCACATACGACAGACTCTCGAACAAATCTTTAAAGCGATGACTCAGTTTATCGACCACATAGCCGACAGAAAAGTTCACAGAAGAACAAATATTTTGCCCCTTCACAAAATATGCTTCTTTCTTATTAACGAGTTGAATAATAATGCGGTAAAAGAGGTCAAAATTGTATTACACGTAAGTTTATTAACTTATTCAGATATTCAACGTCTTCTCAAATATCTTCTCGTCGTCGGTAAAATAAATAATCACCGTCATAAAAAATTATTACCATATCTTATTAGGAATTATATACACAAGTCTAACTACTGACAAAGCGGAGCGGAGGAAATAAAGAAAGGAGTTGGCGTTGAGAGAAACGACAATAGATGTAATTTTTGATAGGTAAATTGGTGGATAAATAATCGTTTACTAAGGACTATTCCTTTCTAAACTGGTTAACTAGGTGGCTGCTCTCTTTTATCTCAACTGGTGGACGGGAGCGGATCTGGATCGGGCAGCGGGCAGTTACCGGTGACGCCCCTCTACTCACCACGCTCGCCTGCGGTGAAGGGATCTGGCGCGGGTCCTCTGATAAGTGGGTCACGGGGGATGCCCGGAACACTTTCATGACATCTCCTTCTTTTTTTTACACAGCTTTTAGATGACGGATAGAAGGTTTTTGGTAAGTATAAGGTAAGTATTGCATTTACTTTACGTTATAAACTAACTCCATTTTCTTTTTTTTTCTTTTTTTCTCTCCCTCCTTTTTCTTTACACCGACGGTTTGCTGTGAACGGATCCAATGGGACACTTGGTGAAGTGGAGATTGCTTAGCTGCTTGTGAAGGATCTGTCCCTGAAGCTGGTAGAGATAGAAGGTGAGTTTGCTGCTTGGCACGCGGGTGTAAAAGCAATGTTTTTCGATTGTTTATCCCCCCGTTCTATCGTTTATTCCTGCCATGTATTTGTTATAATGTATTTAACTAATCGAAGATAATAATTATATTATTATTTAAATAATAAAATATTGATAATGAAAATTATAGCGAAAAGAGGGAAAAAAAAGAAAGAATTGGAAATCTTTATTATATGTAATAGTCAAATGAATCGACTTGTTAAACTTGCGCTTGAAATATAATAAACTGGACATATTTTTTTATAATAGCTGCATTTGTAGAGAATATCGTTAGTTTTGGTGAAAAGAAAGGAATAGAATTAGATTATATTTAACTTTGTTTTATAAAAATGACATTAGATATCATAAATGTTGTAACGATGCAGATCTTGGGATGGAAACAGACGCGAGATTGACTTTAAAAATGGACTGGGTTTTATCGTTAGCGCTATGCTATTGCTGGATGTTTCAAATACTATATACTGTTAAAACATTTAGCAACGGCACGAGAAAAGAGATGATGATCATGGAAAGCCGTATCACCAAGGTATTAATTTATACTATTATCAAAGGCATGAACAAGGGCTTGCTGTAGCAAATCTTGGTTGGTGTGTTACGAAAGAAAAAAGCGATTATGTTATGTAGTTATTTCACGAACTTTTTTGTAAACATTTGCGGTTGTTTTTGCTCAATCTTAGCTTTTTGCGATTACACAACGCGCGAGATCATTAGTGGCATCCCAATAGTCCAGCCTTAAATCCCATAAAATTTTTATGAAAAAGTATGCCCAAATATTGTGAGAAGTTGGTGCGGTTTATGGTCGAAGAATGGAATTTATGACAATAAAATCTCTTCTCATAAGCTATTAAATATTGTATGAAAGAGTATGAGACTAGCATGTCCACTAAATGTAAGGGCATCAATCATGGAGCGCGTAATGAAAGTGGTAACGAGAAGGACCCCGTTCACACACAAAAGGAACAATGATTTCAGCAACAAACAGAACAAACAGAATGCAAATATATTAATTTTGCTGGTTTACAATATTATTATCTACACTGTGCTATGTTATTGAATGACGTCTCAAATTATGGTTGATGTCTCCACTTTTTGAAAAATCCTGCCACTTCACCGACACGTTCAACGATCCCATCTGGGTAGTCATTTCTGTGCCTTATTGCGCGACCTATCAGCAGCAATGCTTAGTGTCACTGTATATCGAATAAATTCAACACCTTCAATGTTTTCTCAAAGTTCTTGATTGACAGCCCTCATACACAAATATCCCATTCCCGCTCCATTAGATTTCTGGTCCATGTATTTCATCTTCTCCACAAGACTGACAGATTTCATATTGGCAAATGGAAGCCCAACCATTACGATAGCGATGATTTGAACTAAGGTTGTAATGATATTGGTAAGAAAAGACGTTTAAATAACGATACCGAAAACTTTCTCACATTTACGCAAGTCACTCGCCAAATAACTTACTACATGCGAATTCAAGTAACAAGGCGTTCCTTTAATTGGCAACCTTTTCTCTCGGAATCTACAAACTCGTTTTGCTCATATAAATTTAACCCCACATACAATTTTTTGATTACGTCAAATTAAATGAATTTATTTCTCAAATCGCAAGCAATACCATATAGTTTAAATAGTAATAAACACGCCGAGTTTTTGAATAATATATTGTTCACACATTAACTCGTTCAAAAGTAAAATGAACAAGGAAGCATTATTTTCGATATTCTCAATCCGTCTCAATTACAAAGCTAGTCCATTCAAGTAATTATTTCTTTTCTCCAGTATGATTTAGGATCCAATCAACGTACTCTTCGATAACTCGATCTTTTTCAAACTCGTTATGAACTGTAGTTTCATGTCAACAATAAAAAAGTCAGAAAAGCGGAGGGTGGGGGTGGGGAGGGGGAAAGAGATAACTTACGCTCGTGATAGAGTCCATCCCACTCGCGAAAGGTTTTGTCAGTTGATGGAATCTTATCAAAAAGTTGTTTTGCAGTTGTGAAACATGTTATTGGATCCTTATTTCCGTGAACAATCAGAATCGGTAATGTTATTTCCGTATATGTTTGTCGTTGTACTTTGCGTATACTCCATATAAGATCAGCCACTATAAAACAGGAATAACATCGACACATCAAATTTTCTAGTTGCAACGTTCACCCAGAGATTTTAATACGCGCTATTAATGGATACATACACCCTCCGAGCGAACCGATTCCATGGATAAGTGGATCTGCAACATATTTATTCACCGCTTCGGGGTCATGACTGATTCCTTTCTCATCAATCGCGACTTTCATTTGGAAACTTGGCAAGACCTTAGAGAGAGCGGTGCAGGCGTAGACTTTCAGCTCAGATGGTTTTATTTTGGGAGGTTGATCAATAAGGGGGGCGCTTACAACGAGACCAGCAAGATTGGACCGTTCTTCTCCAACTGTTGCATAGTAAAGGACAGTCGCACCACCCTATTTGGAGCATAAGTAGGAGCATTCGTTGGAAATAATTAATATGACATACCTACTAGACGTCATAAAAACGTAATCATGATTTTTCTTTTGCATTAGTTACCATACTGTGTCCCATAAGGAATTGAGGAACCCCTTCTCTACGTTGCTTCCTGAGTGCATCAGTAATATCTGAGCATGTGACGGCCATCCCACCAGTGACACCAAGTCGCTTGCTCTTCTCGCCAGTCTGACCGAATCCGCGAAGGTCATAGCCATATACTTCAATTCCAGCTCTCGCAAATTTATCAAATACGTGGCAATAACGTTTTACGTGTTCCCCAAAACCATGACAAAAGACTACGGTTGCTACTGGTGACTCGCGCGCGGGCTATGTAAAATTAGGTATGTGAACGTTACTTGGACAATGAAGACTGGCTTGCTATGCTAGGAGTAATGTTTACCTTCCATTGCATTGTGAATAGTTCGGCACCGTCGGACGCAGTAATCCATTCTTCTACAACTGTTGGATCTGCCATTTTGTTCGAAAGTAAAGTCTCTGAGAACAACACCAGTCCCTATCACGAATTTATATTTCCCTGTGTGTGGCAAATAAACCAAGTGTAATCGTACTACAGTCCCTATTTTGCGAAAGATTCAATGTCGTTGAAGATCCATAGATCAAGCAGATCTCGGCGCGTGTGGGAAGATTTTCAAAAGCGGATGAATTACAATCATCTGAATGTGTGTATATATTCCTCTTTTAGTCTTAAGTTTAAGTGCAATCCTTTTACAATCTGGAAAACCTCTATGCGCATGTGAATTGTTGTAAATAATATTCTCTTCAAAAATCTTATTGGATCTGGATAAACATTATTTGGGCATTCGGAGACGGCTTCTCTTTGTTAGAAGCATGTAGTCAATAAACGTATGCATGCGGGCAAGTTTTAGTCTCCAAAACCAAATTTACCACATGGTTTATGCATTCTCACGTGTCGCATAGGTAAGATGTGAGAAATCCAAGAAACGGATTATATCATAACGAGGACATATTATTAGTATTATAGTAGAGAGATAATTTTATTTGCACATCACTAAAGCTCCATTCTGAGCACTATATAATTTCAACAGTTAACCTAGTTTTAAAAAGGAAAATAAATACTCTTCGTTAGTATTGGTTTATGGATTCACAGAACCAATAGTTTGATCCAAAATTATTCGGTCACGTGATTATTAGGTATAACGATAATTACTTGGAAATGGTTTTTTTCTTCTTATTTGTCATTAAAAATGGTGTTATATTTCACGTCGGCAGGTGAGCCTTGAAAAATAATATACAAATTATGAATAGTGGACTCATTGCATATCCGTCAACTATATGCAGTCATTGATCCTCCAGCTATGGTATATATGGGAAAGGATAAGTACGAAAGTGTGTGTTCTTCAGAATGATCTTGGATTTGTCATTCAAAGTTAATCGTTGAATTAACATATGCCATTTCGCTTATCCCCTTTACAATTTCGGCAAATCTCTTGTTGATTAACCCATGTAACGCTTATAAGATGAAGAGCTAATCAAATACGGGTGGGACGAAGACGTATGGTATATACGAGAATACTCTTGTTAGATGATTTCACAAAAAAAGTTATCTAATCCTCGCTTCTAAACATATCTCCGCTGTAATTAGGGTATGTGTACCATCTACATCACTATGACATTAATGAACTAACCCGTTGAATCACTCACATATCAATTGCGGTCTCAAATATTTACTAACCGTTCAGTTCCACGTCGACAAACTCTCAAGTGCTCACGTATACCTTCGCCTTCAACCCGATCAGACTTGGGATGCGATATCAAGTGAACTGTTGAATGACCTCGCACAATTGGTGAAGGCCAACAGTATAGAGGGGAATAAAAAGAACAATATAACTGTTGTGTATACGCCTTGGCACAATTTAAAAAAAACGGCAGATATGGAAATCGGACAGGTTTCTTTTCATGACAATAGTCTGGTGTGTTGTTCAAACTTACGATATTGAAAGATAAATAATACTGGAAGAAATTCTTAAGCGTTATGTAGATACCAATCTTACGAGCAACGATATCTGTTTTGACTTTAGGTTAGGCGCATAAACATCGCAAGCAGAGAAAATAAAATTATAAATCGGTTAGAGAAAACGAAAAAGGAGTTATACCCTGATCTGCTTGCCGAAAGAGAGGCTCACGATAAAGAACTTCGAAGAATTGCAAGAGCCGAAGGAATGGCAAAGGTATTATATGCTATTGCTTAGTTAACATGGATCGATTATCATCTCCATTTTTTCTATGCCTTAACGTTTGTATTACCTTGTACTTTTGTATATCAGGCCAAAGAAGAGCTCCGAAAAAGACAACAGCTCCGTGAAGAAGCAGCCAAGAAATCATATGATTCGCTCTTCGATGAATCTAACATGAGAAGTAATCAAGTTTACGAAGAAAATGCGCAGGATCTTGAGGATGACTTCATGTGACGAGTTGTTTACACGGTTTGGAGATGACAACATGGACATTCTGGGGGAATTAAGAATGCTTCAATTTTGATCACTATTCATTTGCTAGTGAGTCATGGTGTTGGCTAGTGAGTCATGGTGTTGGTTTTAGTGAAGCATTGGCAAGTGAGGAATTGATCAACTGTCAGTATGGCAATTAATTAAGAGGAGGTTTGAGTGAGTGCACAGAAGTTTCTTAAATCTGAGAAAGACCGGCTTTACTAGCACGGCCCGATAAATCCTCATTCTCAGATCGAGTTGCGTGATGACATCCAGCTTCTGCCACAATAATAAACATCGACCTCATCCAAATTCTCACACGGTATTTTAGGATAATTCCATCGGCGTTGGCATCTTTGTAATGGAAACCTACTGCGGCAGCTATAAAACGTTTGCAGGCATAATTTGATAGAGACCAGAAATGCTCGTCTTGACCCTCGAAGTAAATTGTCTGTTTTTGGTAGGCTTATCTTTTGCCGATAAGTTACTATGATTAATTGATTTTCAAAGCAGCTTACATGACACTTGCGTCTTCCTTGATTCTGTTGAGAACTATTACACTCATTAGTGATTTCCCATGTGGTTCATAAGGAAACAATTTTCTGATTAAATACAATTTTGAATTTGCACATAACAATTTGCTTATTCTTGAAAACGCGAAATCGATCTTTGCCGCTATCATTATTAATCACCAATAACTCAACAACCAAGAATCCTATGTTCACATATTTATTGATTGTAGTAATGTCAATACATGATATTAAGTACGATTTTTATGTAAAATTTATCGACGCAATTAAGTGTTTAAGCTCTACACATATACCATAACAATGTCAGTACGAGCACAGGTAAATTGTTGATAATCCAGTCCAGATCCTTGAAATAAACAAATCCATTGTGTCCATCATAGACGCGGATTTTATCAATTACTTTCGATTCCTACCCAAAGTATGCGGAAGTAAAAATGCTGGTATACACACAAGTTCACATTCTCTAATATTAAACGTAGTACTGTTAAAAGAAACGGTCACAGCCATTAGCATCTCTAATATTCTATGCACAATCATTTCTCTCTATCGAATCTGTTGGACCTCATTGCCATGTCGATTAACAGCTTCAATTCCTTGTATTAATAGTAGTAGTCACAACAACAATACATCCTCGTAATTTTTATTGATTGTAGCTCGATACTATGAACCACACGTATTCATAATAAATAGTGAATGTATCTTCCCAATATCTCCCAAATGTCATACGCTAGTCCTGGTTCTTCTCACCTGCCTACCAAGTTATTCCTCCACGTTGCTCTAGAAACTTAGCCATTCGCCGTCAACCCAGCATTGGAGATAAGAAACACTTATTAGACTACTATGCGCATTGTAGGAAGGAATTATAATATTGTTATATTTTGCCGAGTATTGGGATTATTTTCGAAAAAAAATACATTCAACCACAAACGGAAGAGAAGTTATCATTGCATTAAGTGTCGATGTAACACAATAACTCTTATCTAAGAAAAACTTTTCATTCAAAACTATGTCGTTAGTTCCAGATATTCAAAACCCAGCAATTGACAACTTGGTCCAATCCTGCTTGGAAAGTGGCTTAAGACTTGAATGGATTCCTAACTCGAAAATTACCGACATAGAGCCAACTCAAATTGACAACGTCTACTGGGCTAGTCACTATCTCCAGATAACACTGATATTCCTCGGAAACAGCGAAGAATGCACACCAACACTTGTGAGTGAGTTTGCCAGAATATACTCGCTACCAACACACAAGTACATCAATGATGTCAGTCAATTTAGACGATATAAGAAATGGCTTGAGAGTCGCAACAAACGCATACAAGGATTCACTAAGCATGAAGATAACTATTACATGGTTGCTAATAAACGCTTTTACCATTGTTACTCTCTCTATGGCTTCTGCACTGCATGTGGAATACTCCGATGTAGTCCCGTGTGGTGCATTTGCGGTCATAAAGAATTATCCGATGGATGGACTAGCAACAATAAGCAACTCGATGAGTTTATTAA